TAAGGTTGTCGTTCATAAAACTTATATTGTGATTATCTCGTCATAATCATTAAATGGCGATACTTATTCCTATTTTTACTAATTCGTTAACAAATCGTTATAATAATAAGGGGGAAAGATAGCCGCCCTGTTGTATCCCACATTTATTTTGGTTACATCTTTTGATTTATATGAGCTAGATGGATAATTTTTGCGAATGATGGAAGCTACAATAATCAATTTAAAAAAAGCTCCAGAAGCCAGATCGAGTACATGTTTTATCCTTTATATTCATAGGAGAGTAAACGTGCAAGCCGAGTAGCAGAATGAATTCTAAAAAATGAATGAATACAAAAAATCATAATAACAACCTGTGGTGCTCAAAGCGACGGAATAAGCCAGGACAGCCACTCCGCTTCTTTTATATTTAAGAATATGAGGAATGGGGAAGGCTGAACAGTGTGGGAGTATAGACCACTAATTTATAACATGGATATATAATGGGTATATTTTGGTTGGGTTGTTATCAGTCAATCTCATCTCACGACAGAAAATGAAAGTCAAGAATTTTCTAGTTAGTTTATTACATAAATAACAAAATAGATTTATAAGGGAAAATAAACTTAATTCGATTTAGGTAAACTTTTTTTTTCAATTTTAAGAAACAAATCTGTGTGCTATTTAAAAAAAAAGTAAAATGAAGCATTAATTTTCACCTTTACTTTCGTAAATGACATGACTGGTTTATTTTTTTACAAACACCGAGTAACGTTGGCGACGCTCATGTAGGAATCGGACAGCAAAGTTTTAACATTCTTTATGAAAATTCTTTAAGGTGAGGGGACCACAAAATATTCTAGGGGTGGGGGGTTTCAGACCAATCTTTCACTTTTTGAATTGGGGAGGGGTGTTGCAAAAGCAGGATCAGTCTCTTTTCTGGGGAAACACCAACTGTCTGGAAGAGAGATTTCCTTCTTGAAACGCCACTGGGTTAGATACTGGTTGGAAAGGCTCAAAAATATATTTTGTTTACGATCCTGGGAAGAAGACTTATATAATTGTGTGGTGTAATTAAATCTAGCCGAACGTATAATCACTCTTCTTGAACACCATATTTAATCATGAACATGTCTTGGAATCAAAGTTTGAATTCACACGATGTATAAAGAGTATTTTAATGTATCAGATAAAAAGTTAAAACTGAAATATATGGTTTCAATAAAAACTCTATTTTTCTATTTTAACCTCTCGACTCTTTCTAAAGTACTGACATTTTGTGACATTTTCATTTCCTAGCTGAAACCACAGAACTTCATTCTTCTGCACTTAAAAATCTTAAAAAAACTGTTTCCATTATCAACTGGTAATGTTTGTAAACTTATACCAAGGAGTTGAATAACAATTTGAATTTTCAAGGACCCGCCCCAGATGAAAGTAACAAGATAAAAAGCTATTTGATCTTGTGGTGCATAGAATGGGATTGAAAACATGTTTTCTGGCCTTTAATGCGCACCAGGAAGAAAGAATGGAAAAAATATTTTTAAAACAACTTCAGTTCACGACGATCACAAGCCGCCGGCCAAACTTCTTGACAGTGATCTTTTCCGGATTATCAGTTATATACGATTTCGGATTTAGATATTTTTTGGGCTCTTTCTTTAAAGATGATATAGTTTTAAAGTAAAAAGGGCTCCAAGATAATCTTCACTCTCATTGAACATGAATTCTATGGGTTTGTGATGATACTTTTGTTACCGTGAAGTCATTTCCATTGCTGGTAAAAGTGGAAGTAATACTTTAAAGATGGGTTTACTTATTTTTTAGTGTCAAATTAAGCAAACTATTTGATTAATTGGTGTTTCTAATGAATTATCATGTAATCTTAAGCTTATCATTATGTTCTTATTCCATATAACTAAAAGTTTTAACCAATCATAAATGTCTGTGTTTGTACAGTCTGGATAAACAAAAAAAGACTTTTTGACCTTTCTTGATCGGTCACTCATTGGAATTCTGCTGGAATTTCTCTTCTAATTTAGCTTATTATGAATGAAAGTAATGACATGTGAGACAAACAGGTATTTTTCCAAGTCATAAGAACACGTCTACTTTCTGTTCATATTAGCATTTTAGTATTAGTATTTTCATTTTCATAAATGAAAATAAGGGAACCCATCTTTAAAGACAACTAATTGTTTTAATTATCAGCTGCAGTGTTTGTAAACAGATACCAAACAGTTGAAGAACAATTGAAGACTTGAAGAGTTTTACAACCAGATTCCTTGTTCTATCTGGTTCAAGTGTTAAAAATCTGCTTCAAATTGTCTGGAAGATAGGTTCTTCTCCTTGAAACAAACTATGTCTCTTTTGTTTTATTTCCAATTCTAACCACCTTCAAGAGATAACAAGAAACGTTTTTTTAAGTCTAGTAAAGAGAGCCTTGTTTACATCATGATATAGTACATTTTCACTTTGTCAAGCTATAACGAACTTCGTACTAATACCTTGAATGTAATAGGCAGTTTTCTTGAAATATGGAAGTTTGCAAAAGTTGCAAATGAAGCGATTGGATTGTACGCTAGCGAATAGATCCAATCAGAGACTGTGAACACAAAGCCAAAGAATAATGGCCCGTATAGTCAGGGGTCCGAATCGCAAGATTACCCTGCCGTACAGTATTGTTACCAACTTTTCTGACATTGCAGCACCCCTACGAAATCTGCAAATAAAGAAAAACTCTTTGGGAGCTCTTTACAAACTCTTAAAATTTGTAATCTTATCTAAGCCTCGACTATTTTCAAGTAATCAAAGATAAAATGTTTCTACAACTAGTGTTTTAAGTATGGCCAATAAATTTCCTTGTCCAAATCGTAATGTTATCTTCAGTTTAAATTCTTGTCATTATTTTACACTGGTTTATCTAAACTTCTGTAGCCATTTTAAACTAGCCTATCTAGTCTTCAAGTAGCCATTCGTCAAACTTTTCTGATCTTGTGCCAATTTAAGTAGGTTTATCTTGACCACAAAGCATCCAGACATGTTCCAGATGGACTATAAAGTGATAAAGTTAAACTTAATTTTTGTAAATTTTGTTCAAGTGGAGGTAACTCCACCCTCCCTGATTTAAGAAGGTCAAGAGTCACTGTGTGAAAATTAATTAATTATTTGGTTAATTAACTGTTTAACTTCTTAATTAAAATTTCAAGGGTACATAATAATTTTCAAATTAAAGTTTTACCATCTTTATTATGTTTTAAGTTTAATCATTATTTAAAAGCTAGGATATGTCCAACAAACTTTATGACTATGTAACTCGTCTGACAATACAGATCAATAGTGCATTGTCGCTGCTCTTGCGTATGGTGATGTCGAACCATTCCCTGGAACAAAACCCAAAGTTAGGTGATAGCTGGTGTTTCTGTTGTGTGCTTCTACAAAGCAAACAAGGTCATACCAATCGCTGTGTTAAACGAGATATCCGCACCTTAGGGGACAGGATCTTTTCCGGAATATCACACGCAAATCAAATAGCTTCAGGACACGTAAGCCCCCCCAGTCAGTGTCTAAAAAGATGAAAAATCTAATGAAACTGTTCATTTTGTACCTGGTTTACCTGTAATAATACTTGACATTCTGACCCATAGTCAAGATCAAACAGGACATCCGACTGGTTAGAACTGTGCTTAAAGCTTTGATGTGTGTTTTAAAGGGAATGTGAAGTCTTACATTTTATTTTCATATCAAACCGGACGTGTTTCTGGATATAATTGGACCAACAGTTTCGTGAAGCTATGCTATTCAATAAAATTCAAAATTGATTATGTACCACATGGTTGGTGTAATTATGCTCTAGAATAGATGATTTTTGACTCGAAAGACACATTGAGTATATCTGTTTACTGGTATAGTATCACCAACTCTACAATACCATTATAATATTCTACAATTTCTTGTAGCAAAACTTGATTTGAATGTGTAGGAATCGAATGTTTATGATGTAAGTGACGGTTTTAAATTGCCTAATCGAGTCAACTAAAATCCCATATCTACAAATTATAATATTTTGTATACAAAGTATAAGACTAGAATAGTTACTACCTTTAATTAAAGTTATAAAATGAATACCTGTCTATATGATGTAATAAATTAGCCTGCAGTCATCATGTACACTTCATACCTTCTTTACACTCCCACTATCAACTCATCAAAATAACGTTCAGACCTGTACCATGACTCTCTACTTCAATCGTTTAGCCCTAGGGCCAAGTATTGATTTTGATAAATAAAATAATAAAATATGTATGAAAAATATACAATTTAGGCTCAAAGTAGTGCAATGAATGAGTACAATGTGTGAAATTATGCTAATGAATAGTTCTTACTCGTACCATGAATATATAGAGGGTAGCCGGGTTACCAAATGGACATCGTTTCCAGATACGCGGACAGTTATGGCGAAAGGGGTGTGGTTTGGAAACGATGGGAACATAGAACTTTATTTCCAAAATATGCGAAAATATTAGGGTATCATTTATTGCAGTCTAATTAAAATGAGACCTAACTTCCGTTCGTATTTTCATTAGTTTTGTTTCGAATGTTTTATTGTCCATTAGCTTTGTACGTAACCACTACAGTAAGGTCTAACACTGTCCTTCTTTGATTTCCATTGTGTTACCTTTGCTTAACCAATCACATGGCTGTCCTTTCCTTAATTCATTCATTCATTCATTCATTCATCACCTTTGTACATGGTAATTGTATTGATGTGAAGTTATTTATTGTATATATTGTCTAAAGTGTACCATGTTTTCTGAGTACGAACAAAATATATATAATTATCCCGTCGCTGGAAGGGGCAGCCTCGTGATTGGTTTGGTTTAATTTTAATAAGGGTGCATTTATTGTATATTCTAGACAATGCCTAATATCTCTCATATCTACACCACAGCAACTACCCCCTACCCCCCACCCCCATCAGCATTTCACACATAATAATATGTATTAATTATTGTATATTGTAGGTTACGCCCGGTACCAGTCATGTTTTATGATGGAAGGTGATAACTCTGAATATTGTTTCCATAAAAATTTAAACACCAGCATCCGTATTTTATCGACAGTCGAATCTAAATCTACACATCAACTCTGCACGTGAGTCTTTTTCCCTGATAATAAAGTTATTGCCCCTGCCTTATCAATTATGTGCACTGTATGATGTTGTTTAATCAGTATTTTAATGATTGAAATGTTTCCCTTGTTCTTTTTAAAGATATTATTGCATTTAATATACACAAAGTTTGCGATCGGTCTTTATTTTGCCGGAATACAACCACGATAGTAAATAGAGTTGGGAAGTTATTGATCCTGCCTTGTCAAAATGATACATCGTTGTAGCATAAAACAGAAGATGCAATCCTGGATATGGTTGAATGAGATGGTGCTACTCCGCGTCTAGTGGCAGAGCCATGACAATAAGTTAACATGTTCAAGATATGTTGAAAAGATGAACCACTACATAATAATATTGCCTATTTCATTGAATAAGTCAACTAAGAGATACATATATTCATACATTCATTATTCTTATATTCCAGAGATATGAATAGAGTGGTGAAGTGTATATCATTTAATATTAATATGAAATGTGGCGAGCACGCTGCCAAGCTGGTGGAATTATTAGTTAAACCTATGGTCAGACATAGTACACAGTGTAGTTACCAGTTAGATACTGAGGTATGTTGCTGCTTTTTTCCTAATGACATTGGTAATTCTAATGTATATACTTTTCGATCTCTGAGCAAAAAATATGAAACGAGTGGACTTTTTGCAATCGGACAGCCTTTAAAACCATCTTATAAACACTTGATGTGACAACAACTGAACAGATTTTTCTCGATTTTAAAATGAGACCAAACTGAAACGAAACTGCCTCAAACACAACAGGCACAGATGATGTCTTCAACAGGACAATTACCAATTTCACTGAGCCAAATTCCTTCCAGGCGTTTAAAGAAAACAGCAAAAGCCATCTGATCTTTTCTCTTAGTTCTTTGTCAAAAATAAACTATGATTTAAGTTAGATCTTTGTGGTATCACTTTAAATTTTAACAGACAAATTTCTCTAGTTGCATGTTGAATGATTGACGATGTATTTATTGTTATTGGCTGTTCAAGACATTATCACTTTTAAATCACCAGAAGGTCAGACAAACTGACTTGAATAAGTTTCAGGGGAACGCCCATTTCCTGCTAGTTAGGATTGTATAAGCAATATCTGGAAGAATGTCGATGGTGTGCAGATTCAGGATGACATTGTGCCTTCTGCAGCAAACCCTAAATTGTCTGCTGATACCCATGGATGACATGAAAATCTTGTAAATACAATGGGACAAACACCGAGCCCCGCTTGCAACAGAGAGCAAATTGGAACCGAACAAGTTTGTGTGGCACTTTTTGGCTTTTTTCATAGTTGATTCTGGACGACGGTGTATATTGCCTCGTTGGTCTGCTCATCACCAGTAAATATGCATTTCTTTTGTTTTCAATGGTATTTATCTTGTGCTGTATATCCTTGTGAAATAAAGCCTCAACTGGTATAGAAAAGGGAGTTACATGTAAAATCAAATATAAGCAAATAAATTAGCCTGTTGCAATCTCAATTACTCAGCAATTTCTAGTGTATAATTCATAGTCATTATCTTCCAATTCCATCTAACATGTACAAACAACATGGCGTCATCCAGCATGGCTCCAAGGCTATTTATTATCCCTCTGGCATATTTTCTTTGATACATAGATGGCGACACAATACAAATCGTTTAAATTAATTCCCAGTATTGTACGTTGGTAAATAGGCTGTATTTGTTTAACGCGGCCGTGATTATATAAGGCTATATTTGTATTGTCTGAGAGATGCAATTGATCTGTATAATTCTGTTTACACGCTTCATGTATTAGATTTATTGGCTGTTTGCAATATTAACTTCTTGATGTCGTGTTTAACACCGGAAATTCGTGTTGGAAAGATCAAGAATATCTGAATCTGATTAAAAGTAGGGCCGCATACCGATAAGGTTGTTTGTGATTGTGGTTGACTTCGCTGACTGTAGATGGTAGCATAGGCATAAGTTCCTGTAGTTCACAGAGCGTAATGATAGAACAATAAGATGTTGGTATTAAAGTGAGATTATTGATATTTTTAGCAAAGATTCTACCATAGGCCACAAAGGAACTGTAATCAGCAACGTTTGCGTCTTGCAAATTGAACGAAACCGGAAGTGAATATATTGAAACCGGAATTTAATGAATGTGTATTTGGACAATTCAATAGAGACTTGCGTTTATCAAACTATCTGTCAGAATGGCAATTCTTCGTATCAGAAATACCAAAATAATAAAAAATATTTACAATGACCCTTACTTATCCCAGACACGGTACTCGACGATCATTCTGTATAATTCTCAATAATCGCCACGTGTTATTCGAGAATCTAATCTGTAAGAAACAAAATTATTTCATTGTCTACCAAAACAAGAGAGGTATTTTGTACGTAGCAATTATGGTTTTCTCCAATATTTTTTCTGGAGTTTGTACAAGTTTAAACTAATAATCCTGATGTCTAGAAATGGTTTTCGTCACGCAATATTTTCAAAGATCAAAGGCCAATTATGATAGTGTTTTTTCGTTTCACAGACAATAGTGTGCTTCAAATGTTTCCTTTACACTTTTATTAAATCATTTCATATTGTTTTATGTCAGCATACTTGACTGTTTGATATATCCGTACCGAATATAGGCCAAGGAGAAACCAATCTGATTCAAATCTAATATAGCCTTCATTGATAGTTTCTGTTGTAAGTTTTGTCACAAGGCTTTTAACCAAAATCATTTTACTAAATAGCGAAGTCAGTTATAGGAATTAAACCTGTTTCATCTTTAACTTAGTGAGAGACATTCACACAAATCTTCAAGGTTCTGCAGAAAATATAATATTTTTTAGAGTCAAACTGGCTATGGGTTTACCTACAAAGATTTACTAGACTGTTAGCCTATGAACTTCCACATTTCAACACCATCATGAAGGTTTCTCATCGAGCAATATGAATGTGATTTAAGGGATGCAGCCGTCTAAAGTGTGCTTTTAAACTTTTAAAGTTATGGAGGAACAAATTCGTAATTTCATACAATTTGATATTTTACTCCAAATGAATTAGGTGTCGCTTCCTTGATAGATCTAATAAGCAGTCAATGAATCGTGCGTTGGAACTTCATTCTTTAAAGAGGTCTTAGGACCACAAACAGACCCATCACAGTCAGTTTTCAGATACAGGAAACAATATTATCAATGCTTTGCAGTTTGGAGCAACTAGGCTGTGCATAGTTGAACTGACCATCTCAATTTTAAGATTGGTTGGTTCGTAGTTAACGTCCGCTTCTTATCAATTCTTAGATTACAGTATAGCTTTAAATAGCAGATAGACCAACAACCAGGATTGGCATCACTGATCAAACGATTTGAAGCTCAACATTTCCTGTGAAAATTGTTTCCCAACACGTTTGGTGGTAAATAGATAGGGACACCCAGACTCACAAATCGAAAGTAGAACGTGCAAAGAGCAAAAGACCAATGTATGGTATTGTTTTAAGATTCCCTGCACCGATAGACTCTCGTAAATAATATAACACTGGGTAACAAAGACTAGAAACTAGACTGTATTAACCAGTACGTGATATTAGAGAAAATGAACAATAAATAAATGATGGAACTCTTTGATGTGTTACCGCGTAATCTGGCATCTATAACGTAATCGTATTCTAAACGTCACGAACACCGGAAATACTAAACCACCATTTTGTTTTTATTCACTGCAGACTTATTGCCGCTTAAATATCTTGTGTTTTTCTTCTAAAATGTCAAATATTCAAATATCTTGAATTTTATTGCGGAAAGCGTTAAAATTAAATGGTCACTTTATCTAGAATGGGTAATATGCTCTCTAAAAGAGAAAAATACCTCGTCTGAAATTGAATCACTTTTGTTGCTAGGAGACACCAATCCTTCCAGAATATCCGTCATGGAAGTCACAAGTACTGCACCTTGGCATCGCGGCGCCTATTTTCCGTACAATTTTCAGCCCATATAGGTTATGATGTTGTTTGGTAATACTGCTACCTTTCGGCTCTCTCTTACGTATGTCGCATTAATGTTAACCAGATCAAGGTTGACTGTTGTTTTTATAATCAACTCTAAAATGAAAGTTTATAAGGAAATATTTCACGTTTTATAAAAACCCGTTAAACTTTAGCGAGATATTTGACATTAATAATTAAAGTTTTCAATTCTTGATTTCAACTCGAAATTTTCCAGATTCAAATTAATGACAATAGTTGAAGTTTTTTGAGAGGAAAATGTGAGAGTTGTATCATTATAATGTTGATATATTGAGATTGTATTGATATAATTAGTATTGTTGAGTTTCACCATGGTGTAAAATATTATATCTTTCAACTGATACCCGGTTTTAATGAGAATAACAGAGCTAATATTAACCTAACACTGAGGTTATACATTATTTACCATTACTGGAAACATAAGATTCAATTCTTATCGGATTTTTTTGTTTCATTTTCACTTACATAAATCATTGTATCTTCCTGTTCGATTACAAAAAATAGGTTTCACTTTTTTTCCCTTATTTTTTTTTATGTCTATAAAATATGTTGTAGACGAAAACAATAAACTTCTTTTTTTTGTTTGGAACAAAAACCAACATTAATCTAGTTCATTTTTTTAAAGTGGGCTTTTTATAATAACATTCGATTTTTTGCCATTAAAAACACTTGAATGAAATTTACTTAAAAATCTCTCGACTAATCTAATCCCTAACCCATTTTTTCATCCAATCAGAATTAACTAAATTTCGACTTAGTTAATTGTCAAAAAATTTTACAATCACGTGATATTTTGACTGACAGCTATTGTGAGGTTCTAAGTAAGTAGACATATGCTTTAATAGTAAATACCTACCCAAACCCATTTGATAGCCCAGAGCCGATGTAAACCCCCCCATTCACTTTGTTTTCGATATATTTATAATTTCAATTTCTACTTTCAGACCACCTCCAATTTCAAAAAGCCTGGAGTGACGAAACCAATTTCAAAGCAACATTATATATCTGACGGAAGCGGAAATAGTGCTCATGTGAATAATACTTCCGGTACAAAAATGGCCTTGTTAACTTTAATGTGCTCTTTAGTGTTTCTACTGGCTGTTCATTGATAGTAAAACGGCGACATTTCACATAAAAAGAAACAAAATATTGTTTTTCTGCAGACAAAGAGGCAATTTGTTATGATTTGAAGTAATTTGAGATCTTTCAGCGCGTACTACAATGTTCCTTAATGAGCATTATGTGATTTAAATTATGTCTTTTGTAATGAAAAACGAAATGAACAGGTAACGTGATGAACGACTTGATGTTTTACAACAATCGAAATAAAGGATGAATTTTCGACAATCAGAATAATTAATGATGATTAGTATATTTCACGACAATGACGTCATGATTGTGTAACCTTATATGGATATTATAATATTAACGTCATGGTAACGATATTATCATGATTAAAATAAATGTGATTATCACCTTTAAAGCCCATTACAGTCTGTAATACGAGCCGAGCTTCGTGTCGGATCAAATAAAGAATTACTCAAAGCCTTCAGAACGGTGTCTGAGGAATGAAAAAGACGACAACTTGCATCAGATTTCTGTGTAAAACTCTGATTTGTGATCTATCATAATCTGTTATTTTAAAATCAGAAACAATGCCCTTTGTGTGATTTCTTCGACTCTAATTGTACTGGTTTCTGTTGGAGTATTGTTCCAATTTGAAACAACGGTCTGCCTCTCATCCGACTTCAACCTTTACCGAGATCCACGACAAAGGATATTCTGAATAGACTAACAACCAACGTAATTTTATATTTGGCCTTTCAGAGAGACTTTTTAACTCTTGGTAGGCCAACTCGTGTTTTTTATTGTGTTATTTCCAATGTTAATAACTAAGACGCAGCTTTCTAAACTATTTCAATTAGCAAAGACATTTGGATATTTGGAGCAGGGCAATTCAAAACATACATACAATCCTGCTTGTCTTATATTAGTCTTAGATAATACATTTAGCATATTTAATTGGTCTATCTGATACCTTAAGATTTTGAAGTTATGATGATGGTTTCTTGTTTCATGGTATAATCCCGAGGTGAATCTAAATATCAAACAGTTACTATCCACGGGCAATTCTGGTTATTTATTGAGTTTTGTATAGAACTACTATATTTAATGTTAATTATAAATTATCCTACAATAACTGTGGTCTGGTAAATCGCACGTTTATGTCCCTTTGCTGTGGATGGCACAGATAGATTGAATTAAGAGAATCATTCAGGCTGTCCTGCAGCTCAACCTACAGACTTTCAGAGAGTGGCTTCTATCAATTATTTATGCTGCCCTCCGAGCTGGATATTTTATGTCTAACTATTAGTTAGTTTATATCGACAACAAAACTAGGAAGTTAGTCCGAAGATTGAAACCTTTAGCGTGACGTGTTCTATTACCACAATACTATATAAGCGTTAACACTGACGGTGAAAGAACCCTTTTTTTAGATTTGAATCAGAAACTGAACACAGATTAGAACGTTCTGTGCAGTCTAAGACTGGTTGATCCAGCCAATATTTAATTGTTTTCTTCAAGATAAACAGACTGCCTGTTTCCATGTTGATTCTTAGAACACCTGTACGATTTATACAGCTTCCGGTCGCACAAGTACCTTTTTATTTTGGATTCTTCAACGTCAGTCCGAGCGGCCGGGTGGCTTGATAGACACGATAGATCAGAGAATAGTAAAGTCATTTGCAATGTTAAAGTTCAACGTATTGCTAAAGGTCTCTTTATTGATTGTATTGTGTATGCTCTTGTCAACCTCTTGTTTTAATTTGATTGATTCCTTGATTTCACTTGTGTGCTCTTTACCTCGGGGCTACCTTCGTTTCGTTCTGTCTGGTGTTTAATATTATTTTATAATAAACAGTTTGATAAATCACTGCCCTGCTTGATCAACTTCATAAAATTACACAATACACACACACAAAAATATATTATAACGTCAGGGGAATAGGGAGAAACTTGCAGACATTGAACAAAAAATCCCTTCTTTCCACAAGAAGAGCTGAACATAAGCATCTTAGCATTGGCATGCTCAGAGTAACAGATTGTAAGCACTACTTTGACCAGGATTTCACGTAAAAGACCAATCTGATTAAATTGCTGATAGGAATGTTTTGTGTATTATGCTACACTTGTCCTTGTCACTTTTATTTGTCCCCAGCAGAAAAAAACCGAAACGACATCCGGATACGCTTTTTAATCAGATCGCTTAAAGATAAAATTAGTCAAATGAGTTTTAACTTTAAATTTTAATCCGAAAATTTTACGTATTTCAATATTTATCGCATTCTGTGATACCGAAAAATGTGTTTTCTCATCGCATCAATTCAAGAAAATACGAAATGAAATTCAACGTGGCGTCTCAGAATGCATTATCTTTATATACTTTTATATAACTTATTAAGAATATATTCATTTTTATATCCGAATGTAAAATTGTACAGTATCCAGGTGATTGGTTTCTTGTGCTAATTTTGTTACAAGGCGATATTTTCCAACATATACAAACATAGAGAATATATTTAGATGTTACTCTTTCTTATAATGAGAATATGAAAGAAAAATAATTGATGTGTACCTTAAAGGCTCTGGTCAATGGCAAATTAATGCAACTTCCAGTACAACTGGAACGTTGTTATCATATAAGCTATTAGCCCCGCATTAAGTTGCCGGCTTTATATAATGACATTTCGAAACCTTTTGCTGCCTAATTTCAGGACTGGTTAATACAGTCACAAAAACATTGTCTATATGTAGAGACAAATCTAATCGAGCAATTTCTGCCAATGAGCCATCAATGCATGTTCGTTCATTCGGCATTGTACGTCCACCGCTTCTTCAGAACTCCAGCACGTTCTATCAATTGATAAAGGGGCGTGGTTAAACCCAGGTGATGTTTGCCATGCAGTTCCCCTAATAAATAGAATTAATTCAAATTTGATAATTTTGTTTGTAAATGTGTACAGTGTGAATATTGCCTTATGTATTATAAAGTTGTTATGTATTTATATTATTTATATGTTCTCATGCTATTTTGCAAAAATATTTCTTCCAATACTTGGAGCAGTTTATATAGTTTATAACCAAGATTATTCCAGATATGTTAAAGAAATCTTAAAATCGTGAACAGTTTGTAGCTCAACTAATTCGAAATATTCATCAAGAAATCTTTAGGCCTTGGACCGGTTTTAATGTCCACAGTGCATTATCCATGATATTCCATGGACAGCTTTAGACACAGTTTGAGTTTGACAGGTATTTTCCAGAGCGGCTGGAGAAAAGTCGTGGATAATTGCCAACTTAATGACATGATATTTTTGATCCAATCGCTGTTATCGTATTGTGGTTGGTATTTTAAATTAAGCCAGAAATATAGTTTCTCCTGAAATCTTACTAGGAATTTCAAGGACAAATTACGAAAGTCATCATTAACTGTCGTCAAGGCCATCTACAAACGCCTGTGTGTCATTGTGTTCAATAATAGAACTTTGTCTGATATGAGAAATTTTATATGTAAAAATGTATTAAAGAGTATCTTACAATAGAATATCTTTTTTTGTCACAAATATGACATATTTTCTTTTATGAATTCGCCAGACATACGATAATAGATTTATGCTTTATTGTGCTGATATTCTGATGGATTTGTAAAACTGTTTGTGTATAATATATTTATAATTATGTATATAATTCTTGTAAATATAAGATAAAATCGAAACCCTATGAATTATTCTTTGCCATCTATTAGACAAGTTACGACACCATCATCAATTTCTTTTGAATAATTCTTTTAGCTTTATATCCTTTGATGTGCAAAGAAAATATTTTACAGATAATTTCAGTATCTCATTGACGACAATAAGTGATATTATAAGATTCGAAACAGTATCTCCAAAATTCACTGTTCCTCTCGATTCACTGATTCCCATTTGACCCCCTAAATGTATACCCTTTTTCAACAAATTATGTGTCAGAATGCACAAAATTAATTCATTTTTTCCACAATTTTCTTGAGAGAACCCTCTTAGACGCTCTATGGTAGGCTTGCGACTATGATACCACCACAGAGTAGCCACAGCAGTTGTACCCCCATTGAGTCTGTCAGTCTAGCGCCACCACTGTAGGTATTAAACCGCCAATCTTGACTTTTGGTTTCCCAGTCACCCACACCTTCTGTTTTCCAACAAGTCCATAATTAAAAGAAAGTAAAACTCTACTCACAAAGCCATTCTTGACAGATTACTACCAATCAAAAAAATACTGAATCGATTGTATTGTCGTTCTGTTTTCCTACTTTAAGATCCATAGATAAATTATATTATTTCCACACAAAACTCGATCTTCTACTATATAGAATATTTGAAAATCAACAATCTACCACCAAAAGATACCCCTTGTCTGTTTTCTCCAACTCTCATATCCATAATAGGGTGTAAAACTCCATCTTCTAATCGTAGAGCAATATTTGATAATTTATTAGTCACTATCCATCATAAGAATAATAAATCCCCAGTCTAGACTGCTAGTTCTTATCAGAGTCTTACAATCTTAGACAAATTTATATTTATATTGATAGTTGAACTGGTTTAAAAACTCAATTATTCTAGGGTACGGTTCGTTTCCTTACAATTAGATTTATCATTTCACTGCACCAACCATTTAGACATGTTTATAATGGAAAAATATGCAGTCAGACATAATAAAATAACTAACTGGATCTGCTCTAGAATTTATTGGAAGTTTTGATTTAGACTGATCCTTCACCTCATTAGTTTTTATTAAGATGCACTGAGCATAGAACATAGCGATAATGGAGAAATGTGCATGTGCTCCGTGATGAAAATGCCGACCTGAAATTCCGTTCTGTTATTTTTCTGAGACTCACACCACTGACAAGTCTTCAACTAAAGCATGTACAATGATTCTTCGTTGGTAAATTGTAAAAGTGCCAGCAATAAATGGTCAACTCAATCAAAAACCAATGAAATGGTCTGTTCGGTCTTTATAAAACACTTTAGGGAAGTATATTTTCAACTTTAAAGGGATGTGA